ATATTATTGTAATAATTAAGTATTTAAGCTTCATATGCTTTAACCAATTGAAAGGATGAAATTTTCGAGCGCAAAATCGGAGCAGGAAAAGTATTCTAGTCAAGGTCAGAGTTTTAGTAAAGCATATGAACGGCTAGAAAATTATGAGGATAAAAGCTCGGGAGGAAAACGGTAAGTGGAGGGATGGTATTGTTTGAGATAGAATGGTTAAATGCGGCATGAGATATTGAGAAGTGAGTTTGGAAATGAGTTAGTGAGAGTATTTTGTGCGTTTAGGAAGTTTGTTAAAAATGGTTTATACGGCGAAGAGTTAAAATGCAATTAAACGTGAAATGTAAAAATGATTTTGGTATGTTTTTAAAAATGGATTTAATCTTGATAATCGCTCTTTATAATGGCGAATGGTTATTGATGGATATGTGAATGAATTGAAATGGTCATATCTCAGTCATTTTTCAATGAATTTTGTATTTCAACACTCATTTATAGGAAATTTTACGCTCTTTCAGATGCTGTCACTAAAATTTGAGTGAAAGGTCAGGAAAATGATGTTTCTAAGCTCCAAGCCATCCAGAGTGCCTTAGTTACGCATATGCGAAAAGGGTCTAGAAATATTTAGCTGAAAGCAGATAAAAGCTCGGAGCAGGCAAAAACGGTAAGTATCATGGAGGGTGCATATGGTACTTGGTGTTTGAGATGAGAGATGTGTGTAATGATGGCGGCCATTGTGAGATTATTGAGATAAGTGAGTTTACATCGGAAATGAGGCTATAGTGAGACGGTGATGTTTGTGCCGTTATAGGGACGTTATTTAGGCTGTCTTAGAGTTGAAATGTGGTTTATCCAGTGCGGAAGAGAGTTGTAAACAGTGTCAAACATTGAAAACCGCTCGAAAATCGGTCTAAAAATGCTTTTTGAGCGTTTAAGTAAGTGCTATTACACAATGGAAGTGTTAAATATGTGAGCTTAAAGTTATAGTGTCTTAGATAATGGAGTGAATGGTTACTATGATGGATAGTTGAATGAATTGAAATGGGCATATTCAGCTTTTAATGAATGGTTTACTATTCAAGACTCATTTGAAGGAAATTTTGCCTTTAGACTGTTAAATTAGGAGGTCAGGAAAATGTGTTTATCCAAGATCAGAGTGCCTATTACGCTTGGAAGGGGGTCTAAAATATTTTGGCGTAAAATGGAAGGAAAACGGAATATCTGGAGGTCATAGTCGTTTTAGATAATTAATGGCGGATTGTTTATTGAGATAAGTGATTTAATGAAATGGGCATATAGGGGATTTTTCAAGGAATTATTTACTTTTGAGGAAATTTTACGTCGAAGATGCTGTCAAATTTGAAGTGAAAATCGGAAAAATGTTTCTAAGCTCCAAGCCATCCAGAGTGCCTTAGTTACGCATATGCGAAGGGGGTCTAGAAATATTTAGCTGAAAGCAGATAAAAGCTCGGAGCAGGCAAAAACGGTAAGTATCATGGAGGGTGCATATGGTACTTGGTGTTTGAGATGAGAGATGTGTGTAATGATGGCGGCCATTGTGAGGTTATTGAGATAAGTGAGTTTACATCGGAAGTGAGGCTATAGTGAGAGGGTGATGTTTGTGCCGTTATAGGAACGTTATTTAGGCTGTCTTAGAGTTGAAATGTGGTTTATCCAGTGCGGAAGAGAGTTGTAACAAAACAATGAACATTGAAAACCGCTCGAAAATCGGTCTAAAAATGACTTTTTGGCGTTTAATGGAAGTTGTATTACAACAATGGAATTTAATACTGTGACGTCATAGTCGTCTCTTAGATAATAATGGCGGAATGGTTACTATGATGGATAATGTGAATGAATTGAAATGGTCATATCTCAGTCATTTTTCAAAGAATTTTGTATTTCAAACACTCATTTGATAGGAAATTTTACGCTCTTTCAGATGCTGTCACTAAAATTTGAGTGAAAGGTCAGGAAAATGATGTTTCTAAGCTCCAAGCCATCCAGAGTGCCTTAGTTACGCATATGCGAAGGGGGTCTAGAAATATTTAGCTGAAAGCAGATAAAAGCTCGGAGCAGGCAAAAACGGTAAGTATCATGGAGGGTGCATATGGTACTTGGTGTTTCAGATGAGAGATGTGTGTAATGATGGCGGCCATTGTGAGATTATTGAGATAAGTGAGTTTACATCGGAAATGAGGCTATAGTGAGAGGGTGAGGTGTTTTGTGCCGTTATAGGAACGTTATTTAGGCTGTCTTAGAGTTGAAATGTGGTTTATCCAGTGCGGAAGAGAGTTGTAAACAGTGTCAAACATTGAAAACCGCTCGAAAATCGGTCTAAAATGACTTTTTGGCGTTTAATGGAAGTTGTATTACAACAATGGAATTTAATACTGTGACGTCATAGTCGTCTCTTAGATAATAATGGCGGAATGGTTACTATGATGGATAATGTGAATGAATTGAAATGGTCATATCTCAGTCATTTTTCTATGAATTTTGTATTTCAAACACTCATTTGATAGGAAATTTTACGCTCTTTCAGATGCTGTCACTAAAATTTGAGTGAAAGGTCAGGAAAATGATGTTTCTAAGCTCCAAGCCATCCAGAGTGCCTTAGTTACGCATATGCGAAGGGGGTCTAGAAATATTTAGCTGAAAGCAGATAAAAGCTCGGAGCAGGCAAAAACGGTAAGTATCATGGAGGGTGCATATGGTACTTGGTGTTTGAGATGAGAGATGTGTGTAATGATGGCGGCCATTGTGAGATTATTGAGATAAGTGAGTTTACATCGGAAATGAGGCTATAGTGAGAGGGTGCTGTTTGTGCCGTTATAGGAACGTTATTTAGGCTGTCTTAGAGTTGAAATGTGGTTTATCCAGTGCGGAAGAGAGTTGTAAACAGTGTCAAACATCGAAAACCGCTCGAAAATTGGTCTAAAAATGACTTTTTGGCGTTTAATGGAAGTTGTATTACAACAATGGAATTTAATACTGTGACGTCATAGTCGTCTCTTAGATAATAATGGCGGAATGGTTACTATGATGGATAATGTGAATGAATTGAAATGGTCATATCTCAGTCATTTTTCAATGAATTTTGTATTTCAAACACTCATTTGATAGGAAATTTTACGCTCTTTCAGATGCTGTCACTAAAATTTGAGTGAAAGGTCAGGAAAATGATGTTTCTAAGCTCCAAGCCATCCAGAGTGCCTTAGTTACGCATATGCGAAGGGGGTCTAGAAATATTTAGCTGAAAGCAGATAAAAGCTCGGAGCAGGCAAAAACGGTAAGTATCATGGAGGGTGCATATGGTACTAGTACTTGGTGTTTGAGATGAGAGATGTGTGTAATGATGGCGGCCATTGTGAGATTATTGAGATAAGTGAGTTTACATCGGAAATGAGGCTATAGTGAGAGGGTGATGTTTGTGCCGTTATAGGAACGTTATTTAGGCTGTCTTAGAGTTGAAATGTGGTTTATCCAGTGCGGAAGAGATTTGTAAACAGTGTCAAACATTGAAAACCACTCGAAAATCGGTCTAAAAATGACTTTTTGGCGTTTAATGGAAGTTGTATTACAACAATGGGGGGGGGGGGGGGGGGGGGGGGGGGGGGGGGGGGGGGGGGGGGGGGGGGGGGGATGGCGGCCATTGTGAGATTATTGAGATAAGTGAGTTTACATCGGAAATGAGGCTATAGTGAGAGGGTGATGTTTGTGCCGTTATAGGAACGTTATTTAGGCTGTCTTAGAGTTGAAATGTGGTTTATCCAGTGCGGAAGAGTTGTAAAGAGTGTCAAACATTGAAAACCGCTCGAAAATCGGTCTAAAAATGACTTTTTGGCGTTTAATGGAAGTTGTATTACAACAATGGAATTTAATACTGTGACGTCATAGTCGTCTCTTAGATAATAATGGCGGAATGGTTACTATGATGGATAATGTGAATGAATTGAAATGGTCATATCTCAGTCATTTTTCAATGAATTTTGTATTTCAAACACTCATTTGATAGGAAATTTTACGCTCTTTCAGATGCTGTCACTAAAATTTGAGTGAAAAGTCAGGAAAATGATGTTTCTAAGCTCCAAGCCATCCAGAGTGCCTTAGTTACGCATATGCGAAGGGGGTCTAGAAATATTTAGCTGAAAGCAGATAAAAGCTCGGAGCAGGCAAAAACGGTAAGTATCATGGAGGGTGCATATGGTACTTGGTGTTTGAGATGAGAGATGTGTGTAATGATGGCGGCCATTGTGAGATTATTGAGATAAGTGAGTTTACATCGGAAATGAGGCTATAGTGAGAGGGTGATGTTTGTGCCGTTATAGGAACGTTATTTAGGCTGTCTTAGAGTTGAAATGTGGTTTATCCAGTGCGAAAGAGAGTTGTAAACAATGTCAAACATTGAAAACCGCTCGAAAATCGGTCTAAAAATGACTTTTTGGCGTTTAATGGAAGTTGTATTACAACAATGGAATTTAATACTGTGACGTCATAGTCGTCTCTTAGATAATAATGGCGGAATGGTTACTATGATGGATAATGTGAATGAATTGAAATGGTCATATCTCAGTCATTTTTCAATGAATTTTGTATTTCAAACACTCATTTGATAGGAAATTTTACGCTCTTTCAGATGCTGTCACTAAAATTTGAGTGAAAGGTCAGGAAAATGATGTTTCTAAGCTCCAATCCATCCAGAGTGCCTTAGTTACGCATATGCGAAGGGGGTCTAGAAATATTTAGCTGAAAGCAGATAAAAGCTCGGAGCAGGCAAAAACGGTAAGTATCATGGAGGGTGCATATGGTACTAGTACTTGGTGTTTGAGATGAGAGATGTGTGTAATGATGGCGGCCATTGTGAGATTATTGAGATAAGTGAGTTTACATCGGAAATGAGGCTATAGTGAGAGGGTGATGTTTGTGCCGTTATAGGAACGTTATCTAGGCTGTCTTAGAGTTGAAATGTGGTTTATCCAGTGCGGAAGAGAGTTGTAAACAGTGTCAAACATTGAAAACCGCTCGAAAATCGGTCTAAAAAAAAAAAAAAAAAAAAAAAAAAAAAAAAAAAAAAAAAAAAAAAAAAAAAAAAAAAAAAAAAAAAAAAAAAAAAAAAAAAAAAAAAAAAAAAAAAAAAAAAAAAAAAAAAAAAAAAAAAAAAAAAAAAAAAAAAAAAAAAAAAAAAAAAAAAAAAAAAAAAAAAAAAAAAAAAAAAAAAAAAAAAAAAAAAAAAAAAAAAAAAAAAAAAAAAAAAAAAAAAAAAAAAAAAAAAAAAAAAAAAAAAAAAAAAAAAAAAAAAAAAAAAAAAAAAAAAAAAAAAAAAAAAAAAAAAAAATTTTTTTTTTTTTTTTTTGGGGGCCATTGTGAGATTATTGAGATAAGTGAGTTTACATCGGAAATGAGGCTATAGTGAGAGGGTGATGTTTGTGCCGTTATAGGAACGTTATTTAGGCTGTCTTAGAGTTGAAATGTGGTTTATCCAGTGCGGAAGAGAGTTGTAAACAGTGTCAAACATTGAAAACCGCTCGAAAATTGGTCTAAAAATGACTTTTTGGCGTTTAATGGAAGTTGTATTACAACAATGGAATTTAATACTGTGACGTCATAGTCGTCTCTTAGATAATAATGGCGGAATGGTTACTATGATGGATAATGTGAATGAATTGAAATGGTCATATCTCAGTCATTTTTCAATGAATTTTGTATTTCAAACACTCATTTGATAGGAAATTTTACGCTCTTTCAGATGCTGTCACTAAAATTTGAGTGAAAGGTCAGGAAAATGATGTTTCTAAGCTCCAAGCCATCCAGAGTGCCTTAGTTACGCATATGCGAAGGGGGTCTAGAAATATTTAGCTGAAAGCAGATAAAAGCTCGGAGCAGGCAAAAACGGTAAGTATCATGGAGGGTGCATATGGTACTTGGTGTTTGAGATGAGAGATGTGTGTAATGATGGCGGCCATTGTGAGATTATTGAGATAAGTGAGTTTACATCGGAAATGAGGCTATAGTGAGAGGGTGATGTTTGTGCCGTTATAGGAACGTTATTTAGGCTGTCTTGAGTTGAAATGTGGTTTATCCGTGCGGAAGAGAGTTGTAAACAGTGTCAAACATTGAAAACCGCTCGAAAATTGGTCTAAAAAACTTTTTCGGTGTTTAATGGAAGTTGTATTAACAATGGAATGTAATTTAGTCTGTCGTCTCTTAGATAATAATGGCGGAAGGTATATGACGATAATGGAAATGAATAATTGAAATATTATATCAATATTTTTCAATGAATTTTGTATTAAAATTTTCGATGAACTTTCAACTGTCTTAAATTTGTCACTAAAATTTAGGTAAAGGTCAGAAAATAGTTTCTAAGCCCAAGCCATCCAGAGTGCCTTAGTTACGCATATGCGAAGGGGGTCTAGAAATATTTAGCTGAAAGCAGATAAAAGCTCGGAGCAGGCAAAAACGGTAAGTATCATGGAGGTTGCATATGGTACTTGGTGTTTGAGATGAGAGATGTGTGTAATGATGGCGGCCATTGTGAGATTATTGAGATAAGTGAGTTTACATCGGAAATGAGGCTATAGTGAGAGGGTGATGTTTGTGCCGTTATAGGAACGTTATTTAGGCTGTCTTAGAGTTGAAATGTGGTTTATCCAGTGCGGAAGAGAGTTGTAAACAGTGTCAAACATTGAAAACCGCTCGAAAATTGGTCTAAAAATGACTTTTTGGCGTTTAATGGAAGTTGTATTACAACAATGGAATTTAATACTGTGACGTCACAGTCGTCTCTTAGATAATAATGGCGGAATGGTTACTAAGATGAATATTGTGAATGAATTGAAATGGTCATATCTCAGTCATTTTTCAACGAATTTTGTATTTCAAACACTCATTTGATTGGAAATTTTACGCTCTTTCAGATGCTGTCACTAATATTTGAGTGAAAGGTCAGGAAAATTATGTTTCAAAGCTCCAAGCCATCCAGAGTGCCTTAGTTACGCATATGCGAAGGGGGTCTAGAAATATTTAGCTGAAAGCAGATAAAAGCTCGGAGCAGGCAAAAACGGTAAGTATCATGGAGGGTGCATATGGTACTTGGTGTTTGAGATGAGAGATGTGTGTAATGATGGCGGCCATTGTGAGATTATTGAGATAAGTGAGTTTACATCGGAAATGAGGCTATAGTGAGAGGGTGATGTTTGTGCCGTTATAGGAACGTTATTTAGGCTGTCTTAGAGTTGAAATGTGGTTTATCCAGTGCGGAAGAGAGTTGTAAACAGTGTCAAACATTGAAAACCGCTCGAAAATCGGTCTAAAAATGACTTTTTGGCGTTTAATGGAAGTTGTATTACAACAATGGAATTTAAACTGTGACGTCATAGTCGTCTCTTAGATAATAATGGCGGAATGGTTACTATGATGGATAATGTGAATGAATTGAAATGGTCATATCTAGTATTTTCAATGAATTTTGTATTTCAAACACTCATTTGATAGGAAATTTTACGCTCTTTCAGATGCTGTCACTAAAATTTGAGTGAAAGGTCAGGAAAATGATTTTTTAAGCTCCAAGCCATCCAGAGTGCCTTAGTTACGCATATGCGAAGGGGGTCTGAAATATTTAGCTGAAAGCAGATAAAAGCTCGGAGCAGGCAAAAACGGTAAGTATCATGGAGGGTGCATATGGTACTTGTGTTTGAGATGAGAGATGTGTGTAATGATGGCGGCCATTGTGAGATTATTGAGATAAGTGAGTTTACATCGGAAATGAGGCTATAGTGAAGGGGATGTTTGTGCCGTTATAAGAAC